AGAGATTACCTGGGCATCTCCCAACCGTCTCCCCCAAATTCCTAGTTTAAAGCTTTCTTAATAAGTTGAGCCAGCCTCCGCCCTAGAAGTCTATTTCCCTCCCTACTTAGGTGAAGTCCATCTCTAGAGAACAGTCCTCTGTCCATAAATGCCTCCCAATGACCATACATCCCAAAGCCCTCCTTATAGCACCACTGCCTAAGCCATCTATTGATCATAATCCTGTCACATCTTAGTTGCCCTTCTCTAGGAACAGGCAGAATCCCACTAAAGATCACCTGATCTTCCACGAGGCGTACAGATAGTGCGGAATGGCTTTCTAGTTCGAACTATCTAGACCGTGCCGCATGTAGCTGCGCAGCACGGGGTTCGAACGAGCCGGCATTTAAAAATGGCGCCGGCCGGCTTATGCAAATGAAGCCCGGGAAATTCAAATCCCGGGCTTCATTTGCAAGTGCGGTATGCCTACATTACCCCGCTAGTTCGAACTAGCGGGGTAGTGTAGACATACCCTCACTTTACAAACTCCTACTCAAACTCCCCTGGCAGGCTTGCACCTGGCACGGGCACCGTAGCCAGCCCGTGCCCCTTTAAGGGCTTCGGGGCAAGGAGGGGGGGAGACGAGGTTCCCTGGTGGTGCCCAGAGTGGCCACCAGGGCAAGCTGGGGAGGGCTAGCCTCCCACTAGTTCGAATTAAGTGGCTACACAGCCCTTAATTCGAACTAGTTAATTCGAACTAGGCGTTAGTCCTCGTGGAATGAGGTTTACCTAGTTCGAATTAAGCGCTCCGCTAGTTCGAATTAAGTTTGAACTACCGGTTTGTATGTGTAGCGCCTATCCAAGTTAATTCGAACTAACAGCTGTTAGTTCGAATTAACTTTGTAGTGTAGACATACCCTAGGTCAGTCCACCAGAGTTACCAAATGCTTCTCTTACAAAAACTAGCTTTGAGGTCTTTAATGATCCCAAGTGATCAAATCTAAGTTTTGGACATCACCCAAAAGATGGTACCTGTAGCAGCACTCTGCTTCCTGAAACCTCATTGAAGAAATGGTTCAGTGTGATTCAGAGATAAGCAAACTGCCCACTGAATCACAAGCAGCACTTCCCACTGCAGCTGCTTATTAGAAGACTTCCGTGTTCGGACCCTTTTAGCTTATGATAAATGATAGGATTATAGCACAAAATATTTATAATTTCTGCTCCTAAAGACTTTACGAGCCATCTTTCTGTTCTGCATTTTTACAGAATGTAATGCAACAAGGTTCTGATCTGTCTTGGGCTTCTGAGTGCTACTAGGGATATAAAATCCCATTATCCGATTAAAGGGGAGATGGACAGGGAGACACTCCAGTAAGGTTGGAGCAGCCCTCCCGTCTGCTGGGGTTGGGCTAGAGCAGCAAACCTGGCTGCTTTAGTCTCCTACCCCAGAGGGGGATGCCGCTGCAGCTCCTCATTTCTCTAGGGATGCTAGTTATAGCGTAATTGAATAGTCATGTAACTGCATGAAATTTTAGCAGTTACATGACTATTTGATAATTCCCAGGGACAGGACGACAGCCAGTGTGCTTTCGGCCCCACTCCCAGGGAGCCTCATGCCATCCCTTGCTGCTGCCTCTCTATCAGAGGCAGCAGTGTGGGGCGGCAGGTGGGAGCCTGTCTGCAAGGGGAGCCAGTTTAAAAACCAGCTCCCTACACAGAGTGGCTGGGCGCCGCCCCGGCCTGCTGCCGACTTGCAAAACCTCCATCCCCCTTATGTATCTGGCCCCAAAGTGTCAAACATTTACTACAAAAGAAGAAATGAAACTAGAGAACAACCTACTTAATATTTGGCAGCACACATCATTAACTCACTCCCTAAAACTCCCCACACAGAGGTGGCATGGATAAATGCATCGTATATATCTTTAAAAAGTTAGGGATTGGTACATTTAGCCAGCAGGTAAGTTTGCTGCTTTGACTTTCAAAGAATACAAGTCTGTATCAAAATCAGATTTAATTTTTCTTTTAATGCAGTCAGTGGATGTAACACATAACAGGGATGGCAGATCCCTCCTACAAATGTGAGTGTGTGGTTACGAAATCCCAACCCCTCTATGGCCCCTCCTTTACTTCTCCCCTGCCACCTGAGGCCCTGCTCCTCCAAACAAGCTAGAAGCTGGAGCCAGGATGGGGAGCCTGGGCACCGCAGCTCCTATTTGTGTGTGTGTGGGGGGGGGTCCAAGCTCCCCTCAGACAGAGG